GACAAAATATTTAAAAAAAAATTTTTAAAAAAAAAAAAAAAAAAAAAAAAAAACTCACAGAAAGCCCTACAGGCTAAAATGCTGATCTTCATTAGGGACTCATGTCTCAGGTTGATTTTTTTTTTTTTAATTTTTTAAAGTAAAAATGGTTCAGCCATTTCTCAAGACAAGGTGAGGGGAAAAATGTTGTTTTAATCAAGGTAAAGGCATTTTTACCTTTCACTATGAAAACTCTGGTGCTTCATACTGTGGAGTTGAAATGTGAACTATGGCATGGACACAGCTTTTGCCATCCTCATGAAAATTCACATAAAATAGTTCAAGTTTTGAGTAGATGAAAAATCTCAATTCACACACGCTCAGTAGGGACTACTTATAATTTGACAGCTAAATTCTATGAGCCATGGGGGTAAGATTCCACAGGAAGGAATTTAGAGGAGGGGAAAAAACACTTAGGAAATGCACACAAAACTGACAGTAAATACATTTCATCCTTCATGTTCAAATAATATCAAGAGAGAAGTTGCTCTGGCAACCTTACTTTGGCCCCCTTCTATGGATCATAACAGTATTGAATGATATGGTTAGCTACCACTTTTTCATATGACCTCTGTTTCACTCAATGCACATGATGAATAGTGCTCAGGAAATTAATCAGGTTTGGGTTATTAAGGAGACTGTTGCCTGTAGATAACATCTTCATTCTATACTGAAGTTGGAAAACGGGCTGTGAATAAGGCCTGCAGGCAGGATGAGAGAGGATGTTTGCATGCTTTTGGCAGTGCCCATTAGGAAACTGGATTCTGTTTATGCCCCTGCTATTAACTACGTTCCTCATTTTCCAAGTGCCTAACTTCAATAAAAAAGGTCCAGTTGGCAGAAGTGCAAGCAGTCACAGCTGTAACTCTAGTCATTGAGAGATACAGCTTAGGCAAAAACATGCTACAAGTCAGTACATTCTACAAAAAATAAAAATTAAAATCAGGCCATAGGCTTCACAAACTGAGCACTTGCCACATTAATGGATCCTAGTTCCACATCTGTAAAAGGGGAACAGTACTACTGTATTAACTCACAGATTCTTCTGATATTAAGTTCATTGTTTATGAAGAACCAGATATAATGGTGATAGCCACCTTAGAAAACCCAATGAGGAAACTGAAATTTCTGTATTCCAAGCAAACTAGGAATAAGGATGCAGTAATTCAAGCACGGAACATCCACTGAAAATAACATTCTGAATAGATTCAGTGAGTCCCACTGAACCAAGCAGATGTTCTGTGGAAAAAATACTATTATGTACAATTAAAGACTGACTCACAATACCTACACATAGGGGACCATATTAGGGTTCTGCAGGTAACTTTAATTCCTTCATTTCCTAATTTTGAGTGTTTTTAATAACTGCAATTTAATGGTCTTTCAATGTATCATTGTATGTCATTGCATATGGGTTCTCATCCTACCTTCATCACCACAGTATCTGGGTGTCTACCAGGACTATACCAGGTGCATCTACACACATGCTTTACTTGGGAGTTGACTAATTAGCTCTGCAATAAAGTGTCACCGTCTCCACATGCACCTATATTAGGGTGCAGTAAATTAATTAACTGTTCCAGGATAGTACCGTCCAAGACAAGTACTATCCTACGGTGGAGCAATTTACACTGCCACAACACACACATAGATAGTGACTAGGACTGCCTGGGACATGAGGGTACTACACTGTAAGGGCTACCTACTGGCTAGGCCCTCACTGTAGCAACCTTGTGCTTCAGCCAGCCCCAGTGTTGCCCAACACCACCACCTGGAGCCTGGGTCTGATCCCCAGAACCTGCTGTCAGCCCAGGGCTGCCCCACCCTGGCCCAACCTGCTGCAGTCCCAGGCACACTTATAATTACTGCACCCTGGAAAAATAAACTCTGGCATGAACTGCACTGGAATTTATTTCTCCACCCTAATTGCACATGTAAATCCACCCACTAATTAACAGTTAATTTCTTCCCCTGGGGAAGAACTGTGTGCAGTGTTACATACGGAATTTTGTTTATATATACTTACTCCTTTCTGTTTATTTCACACTTAAGAATGCAAAACCAAAAAAGTGCACAATGTATTTGGTAAAGACGTAGAGGCCATTGGTTGAAATTTGCTTCTCCTCTATTTAAGAGCCAAGAGGTGAGATTTCAATGTGGGTTAGGCTGCTGTCACAAATCACATATGACGAACATTTTTACAACCATGGTAGAAAGCCTCAGAATGAGCCCATCATTGTTGACAAAGGTTTACCATGAAACATGACCAAAACTAGATACAGCCAGGCAACTGGACCTGTGAAAGGCAGTTTCTGAGCCAGGCTGTTAAACCTGTTGGTCCTCTGGACCAGGAACTAACAATACAGACTTCATCTTCCTTCAAAGGGCTGTCTTCTGTAGGGTAAGGCACATATATATTCACCTGTTGTACATAGCTGGTAACAACTAAGTTCAGATATAAAGGCAGCTTCCTTAGATCAAAAGATAAGGTGGGTAGGGAGGGTGGAGGGAAGGCTAAGAAAGGGAAGATGTTATTCCCTCCCCCCAAGAAAGCAAGCAGTACTGACAGGCTCAAGGGGGTCAGTCAATATAAACTACTCAATTTCCCTCACCCCTGCCCCCTGTAATTAAGCACACAAAAAAACCACTGCTTTATCTAGTTTGACATTAGAAATGTAAATCTAGTTATATTAAGTAAGTCATTTTTAATTCTATTTTCTTTGTTCATAAAATGGTTTTTCTTAAGGCTTGCTTATCTCATGAAAATTTTATTTAATACATGAAACTCACAAACATGGCAGCTCTGATTTGTGTGATGATCTCTAAATTCCATTTACTGTGTATTAGTTAATTAAGCTGGATGTATATTTAGAAATGTGTAATACTTAAGTACACTGAAAGAAGCATTGGGTATAGCATTATGTTGCGACAGGAAATCATGACTGCTGGGTTCTCTACATTCCATATACAGCTCATTGTATGGCCTAGAGAAAGTTATTTGTCATCTTTGCCTCAGTTTACCCTTTTATTAAGTGCAGAAATAATTCCTTCGTGTATGAGGGTATTGGGAGAGTAAATGTTCACAGAACTGGATTTAGACACATCATACAAAACCAAAGCAGAGCAGGCCAAACTAGCGTAGCACTACAAAGACTAGCAGCTGTTTGTGCATTGTCCAGGGAGAACCTTCCACCTCTGGTACTAGCAGAAACAATAGGGGAAAAACTCAAGGGTAGACCGGGACAAATAGATTCACTGCAATAAGGTTTAAAATCATTGTCTCGGTGTTTTTGTTTTCATCTGGGAAAGAAGCTTAAACAAACAGTCATTCAATATTTTGTTTGTTTTTCTAAATGTTAAGGGAAAAAAACATTAATACCGAGCCTAGTATTGTCCCAGTTTCAATACTAGGCCTGTCTTTGTTTAACATCTAAAATCCATTACTAGAGAAATAGAAGTCTACTACACAGAAAAGGTAATGATTTCACAGGAAAAAAAAGAAGTTTTTTTACTCTCATGCAATACTAGTAGATTTTGCAGCATATCTTAAACAGATCAAGTATAAATAAACCAAAGAGTGAGCTCATTTGTCATAAATAGCTGTTGTATAGAACCATTAATAAAATTCTGCATTTTTTCCACTAAGTTCACTAAATATCTAAAGTATGACACATTATCTGTTAGCAGAGAAAAAAGCAAAATGAGCCATTGTTATTATCCTGGTAATATATTCATTATTAAGTTACCAAAGTGTAATGACTCTAATTACTAAAGAATTTATTTTTTAAATCTGATCCTTGGTCTTCACACAATGCTAATGCTAAAAGCATAATCTGCTAATCAGTGTAGGTTATCTAGATATTTCTTAACAAATACACTTTCTAATACCTGGAAATTACAATTCTATCTAATGCCTAAGATGTTAAGAGATCTCTTCCTATAGTAGTCGAGTAAAAACAAAAAAACAAAAATTGAGATCCACCCATTCTAGTTTCCCTGTAGTCAATTTGGACAATCTCATTCTGGCTATTTATAGGTAGCAACAGTTTTTCAATACCAGATACATAGTTACTGTATACATTACCCACATTTTTCTTTCATTAAAATGCTTATTTCAGACCTGTAGTGCTAAGAAAAAGCTTATACTAAACCAAGTGATTTCTGGGCACAGATCTTTTTCATGATCAAATTTGGTCTTGTTTTTCTTCATTATGAACCCTCCCACCCCTGAATGTACACACACATATTTTAACACATTAATTTGCCACAGTCAACATAAAATTAGAGTCATGTTTTGTCAATATTCAGTTTAAATGAAGAAAACAGATCCAGTTGAAACACTTCTGGCTACCTTTTAGGTATTTATACACATTTTTTCAACAGACTAGCAGAAAAGAATCAGAACAGAGATACGAGAGCTGCAAGCAAAGACATTTAATAACCCCTTAAGAACAGATTAGGATGTTATAACAGTCAAACCCTAAGTATCTTGTTTTTCCAAGCTATTTCTTATGCTTTTATTTCACCTGTCAACAAAGAAGTATAGATTTTGTGAGCTCTCCTTTACAAGCTGCTACAATTTTAGTCAATTTAAAATCATAGAAAGGACTGTAAACTTACAAGTTCCACAGATCCATAATGCTTTCTGCTGAACTCTCCACGTCTACAGCCCAGATCTTCGGAGACAGAGCTGGAACAGAAGTGCTTCATCAGTATACATAGTTAACTGGCCCTACAAGCTCCTGCAATACTCAGCTACCATTGACCAAAATCATTCCTGCTGAACAAGGTTTGCACTGCACAGGCTCCTCACTGCAGGGGACTCTCCTTACAACATGCACAAGCTCTAGCAGCCATTGCAGAGTCTGGCTTTCATATTACCCTGAAAGGGAAAGAAAAGCATGAGCCCTGATTGGAAGGAAAAGCCAAGATTAAATTAAATATTTAGTCATGATGTAATCAACTAAGAGTATCAAGATAAAGGGCAGAGAATAATTGCATTTGAGATCTCTCCCTAACCTAACAGAAGAGAAACCTGCAGTAAACCGAATGCCTGGAACAGGGTAACCTCACTGAGCTATGCTCAATCAACACTTGCTCTGCTGCAATTTACGCAGAAGATTCTCTCTCTACCCTAGATACTCCTAGAAAACAAACATGTAATAATTTTGTTTCTGAAGTTTACAAGTCCCTCCTCCTCCAAGCTTTAACAAGAACACTAAAAATTTCCAGAGAATAAATGAAAACCCAAGTCGTGTGTGTGTGTGTGTGTGTGTGTGTGTGTGTGTGTGTGTGTGTGTGTGTGTGTGTGTGTGTGTGTGTGTGTGTGTGTGTGTGTGTGTG